ACACTCACTACAAGAACAAACAGGGGTGAGAAAATAGGCATTCACACTGGCTTATTTTTACATAAACACTAACAGGATGATGAAGCAGTGATCAAAACTGGTCATTTGAGGGGGGCTGGAGTGAGAGCAGAGGAGTGGGGCAGGACGTGCAGGCAGGGAGTCTCCTTAAGTTAGTTTCCTTACATAGGAATTTTTTAAACCTTCTCATGCATTATTTATTTAAAATAAGGAGAGAAATTTATATACACTATTTTTTCTTATGCTTGGTCATTATTTTTATTTAACTTCGGCTTTATACAATTAATTTTAACATTTCTACATAGGAAACCACTCCAAGATATAATCCTTTAAACACTAATGGATACAAAACTGCAGACAATACAAAATGTATCAATCCCTTTCTAACAAAAAGGGCAAGGGGCATGATAGTTTGTCCCTCCAGTATATTGCACACTGGGGATATTTTCAGGAAGGAGTAAGGTATTATAAGACATTAGGGGTTTGCAATTAAGCCCTAAATAAACTAGGAATTCCAAAGATCTACATAAGCTTTGACCTGTTTCCTCATATCACTGAAAATAGAAATTCAAGTGCTTTTTCCTCACATCCATTGAAATAGGAATTCATCTGCCTTAGGAATAGTATAGACTTTTAAATGTCAAAGTTTTCTAGGGACACGGACAGAAAAACTGACCTAAAATTGGAAGATACAACTGTGAACTTAAATATACCCATCTCACACCTTAAGGTTCTCTTTAAAGGAACAAAAACTCCTATTTGGTTCAACAATTTTCTTATCTTACATCATATCTCTCAATCAACTTACATCTGAAAACCCCAAGTGCTAATGGAAACTAGAATCAAAGGGCTAGAATCTTTAATTGACAAAGGAATCCAAGGACAGAAACACAAAGATATGAATCAGCTCCGAGAAGCAGCCTGCTTGCCCAGAGTTCAGAAGGAAAACCCACACTCAGAAAGTTGACCATATTCCCAAAATTTAGGGTCTAAACACTGCCGGTTGAGATGTAACCTCTAGAGAGGGTCAGTCCCTGGTGGAGGGGGGTGGGGCACCTGAGCAGCCACAGGAGTGAACTCTGGGGGCTCCACACACCCTCCCCTCTCCTGTGAGCATGGAAGCACTGCCTCCCCCAGGCTTCTATTCTCACAAGTGAGGACACGCTCAGCCTGGTTCAGTTTAAGGTTCTAACCAAAATGAACCCCCAAATTCATAAACTCTTTGTCCAGGAGACAGAACATCTGATCTTCACAGACTTTCTCAATGTGCACAAATTGCACTCTCAGTGCACCTACAGTGTGGATGCAAAATTCAAACAATTTCTAAAATGTCCAGGCCTAAGGAACCACAACCACAACCTCAGAAAGGGCATCACTCCCCACCCCATGTGCACGTGCACCCCCAGCTTTCCAGGGCTCTGCAGCTCCTCTCAGTATAGAGGCTCCTTCCATGGTGGGTGTGAGCAGGTAGGACACCTGCAGGGGGAGGCTCCCCAGGAACAATGAACTGAGCCTTCAAGTCCTTCCCTCTGCAGGCCCAAGGGGGCCTTAGCTTGGGTCTCTGACTGTGGGCCTCTGCTCCCCACTGGAGATGCTTTGGAACATCATTGTTAAATGAGACAAACCTAGTGTTTGAATAATCCTGCAAAATCACTTAAACCCTGCCTTTCCATGGAAAATAGGGAAGAAAATTGTAAGGCACTTTTACTAGTTCAACTACAAAACCCCAAGTATCTGTCCCTTTCAGAAAAAAAAGTCAGTTAATCATTACTGTTACTGAGCAAGGACTCACCACCTGATGCACACAAAAGCTGATACCGTGGGACACTAGTCTTGGAAAGAAACAGTTTTTTGTACAATCAACTGGCAAGGAGACAGAAGGACAGGCGCTCAACTCTGTCTCCCCCATCCAAAGTATGGAGTGAGGTTTAAGGGAGCAGAGAGGGCCAGCTGGTATGCAGAGGCCCTAGAAGGATGAGTTTTGATTGGCAGATCAAAATGTTCTCTTCTGCATATGCTCCTGGTTGGCTCATCTCCCCTGAAAAATAGCTTTAACATCCAGTAGTTAAGCTGGGGTTAGTTATGGGAGGTTACCAGGAAAAGCACAGTAAACAAAGGTAAACTTGTAATACAGATTTAAGTTATTGCCTTCAACTGATAACAGTTTCTAGAGGCTTAGAGTCATCCTTGCTTCCTGGCACAGAGATGGAGGCACGACTACAAATGGACATTTCCTTTATAAATGTAAATTTCTCTTACAAAAGGGTAACTTCTTCTAGGTTTTCAGAGCTTTTCCTGTGTCTGCTGTTTTTTAAATAACCATCAGTTCAAAATCGCCTTTATGCCAAAGATGCATATTTTCGGCTTGCAAATTCTGTTCCTGGTCCTGGGTGACATTATTTCCATGGCAAGAAATCACACCTAAACACTTGTGGTCTGCATGTCTAAGCCCTGGAATTTCACTTGAAAACATCCAAAAGTAAAGAACAGACCTCAGAAACTTACTACACACATTCAGGGGAAGAAGGAGTGAAACAAGTATTCTTAACAAATGGAATGTAATACAGGAATATTATATTTTTTTCTGAAATTCACCTCTTTGTTGCCTGTTTGGAACTATTTTATATCGTCTTCCAAGCTCTATTGATTAAATACATTTACCCTTAAAGAAAAATGGAGACTTAACTAAGGGAATAAATTTTTTCTATGTCACAAAACTAGGGAGGGACAATATCAATGGGACAGATCACCCAAGAATGTTTTTCAAGAGGAACCTCCACCCAAGGACTCCCCAAAGGCTGTCTGTGCCCAGAAAGATCCTGGGGGGAGGGGCACAAGGATCTCATGCAGTGTAGTTCCAGGCGGTTATTTTCTGCTTTCTTCTCATGTAAAATATCCACAGACAAATATAATCTTTAAAAAAGATCCATCCGTGGCTCTGGGGAATAACGATAAACAGTTAAAATATTAGGTCTGTTTGAAATGCACCTCAGAGGACAAATAGTTGATGATGATGCTGTGAATCAGGAGGGGAAGTTGGCTTTGGGAATGTGGGGAGGGACCTGAAAATTTAGACTTACTGTCAGCCCTAGGAAGAGCTATGCTGGAGGGACAGGGCAGTGGATTTGAGACCCTGTTCCCCAAATATCTGGAAAATTGAGGAGAAAATGGGTGCCCCCTGGGGAGATAGGAGGGACTGAGGAGCCCACAGACCACAGCACTTCCTACACAAAAACCCCGGAGACCAAGTTATGATAGTCCCTGATGACCCTCCCCAAGGTCACCACACAATCTTGGGAGAGGCTGGGCTGCAGGTACAGAGCTGCCCAGAGAGGCTCTGGGGCTCATGTCACCACACACAGTGATGGACAGGACACCCAGAATCCTGGCTGCCAGCCCAGCCCCCATGCTAAGGGGACTAAGCCCCAGCAGCCCCACCTGTGGTCTTTGGTCCACAGCCTCCGGAGGTGACTGCGGTGAGACCACGTCTCCCCACAGCCTATTCCAACCAGCCCCTCCTCCCCGTCTCCTCACCCCCAGGGCCACACACTCACCATTTCTAGGTCCCCTGGGTCCCCTGAGTCCTTCCTATGACTCACACAGCCAGTGCAGATCACAGCGTGACAGCGGCTGTGGTAGAGACACCAGGGATTGTTAACGCAGGTGACAATCAATCTGGAGCATGGCAGGAGCTATAAGGGAGGTGCTCGCAGGTGCGGTGCATTGCCCTATGCACCTGCCCCAGCGGCTTCTCTGACTGGACAGTCCAGAAGGCCCCGCCCCCTGTGCCTGAGTGACAGTGGGCAGGTGGCTGCAACCTGACTCACCTGGCACATCTGCATTTAGACAGAATTTTTTCCTGGCCTGGGGCTGCCTTCACCATTTTCACCCAATTCTTGGTGAACTTGTGGGCAACCAGTGTGCATTGGGAACTCCTGATTGAGTTTCAAATGGAGAAAGTACAGACCATTAGGGTGGCCCAGGCCAGGCCATGCTGAAACAAGAGGGTCTCATGGCCTCTAGGTGTCAAGGGCTTCTCGTAAGCCTGCCAGGCCAATCATGGAACTGTGACCCTTGTTTAGGAACACATTTGAATGTGACCTCACCATCTGTAATAAAGAGTCAGGCTCCATTTTAATCTGTGATCCTAGGGCCGGCCCCGTGGCTTGGCGGTTAAGTGCGTGCGCTCCGCTGCTGGCGGCCCGGGTTCGGATCCCGGGATCGCACCGACGCACCGCTTCTCCGGCCATGCTGAGGCCGCGTCCCACGTACAGCAACTGGAAGGATGTGCAGCTATGACAGACAACTACCTACTGGGGCGTTGGGGGAAAAATAAATAAATAAAAAATCTTTAATCTGTGATCCTAGCTAGCGATGAGCCTTCCACCCATCCCTTCCCCATCCCCCTCATTTAGTGCTTAAGATAGAGAATCCCAGAGCACCTGCCTCTGGTGGGAAGTTTGAATCCCAGAGCCCTAGCCTGAATGCAAGATCTCTCCTCAGTCTAACCACAGGGCGTGACATACAACTTATTCAAGTTTCAGGACTGAATCTTACACTGGAAGGAAATGTATTTTAGATTAGTTTTTGCCTGTGTCCCTAGAGACCTTTCAAATGTTAACTGCTATAATATATGAATCTAAGGCAATTGATTTCTATTTTCACTGATATAAGAAAAACAAATCGTTATACAAATGTGGCATGCACCTGGACACGCTTCCCCATCGCCCTAGCTTTATCCCTAGCTAATAAAATTGTATATATTTAAAGATGACAATGTGATGATTTGATAGGCATATACAATTCGTATAGTTGAAATTTGCTAAGACAGTGGATTAGCTGTTCTCACCACACACACACAAAAGCACCTAGGAGTGGAGTTGATGGGTCATATGGTAATTTTAGGTTTTATATTGGAGGAACTCCCAGACCTTTTCCCAGTGACTATACCATTTTATATTCCCAACACACATGTACAAATTTCTAAATATATCCTCATCAAAACTTATTACCTCAGGTCTTGATTGTAGCCATCACAGTGGTTGTGAAGCGCTATCTCACTGGGGTTTTGATTTGCATTTCCTTGATATCTAACAATGTTCAGTATCTTTTCATATCCTCATAACCATTTCTCTATCTTCCTTGAAAACAGTATATTCAGATCCTTTGACATATTTAAATAAAGTCATTTGACTTTTCATAATTAAGTTTTAAGAGGTCTTTAGATTTTTTTCTTTCTGATGAGGAAGTTTGGTCCTGAGCTAATATCTGTTGCCAATCTTCCTCTTTTTCCCTGAGGAAGATTGTTGCTGAGCTAACATCTGTGCCAGTCTCCCTCTAATTTGTACGTGAGATGCTGCCATAGCATGGACTGATGAGCAGTGCATAGGTCCGTGCCCTAGATCTGAACTCATGAACTCTGGGCCACCGAAGGAGGGCATGCAAACTTAACCACTACACCACTGGGCCAGCCTCGCTCTACATATTTTTGATATACCACTTTCTTATCAGATATATGACTTATAAAAATATTTTCCATTCTGTGGGTTGTTTTTACACTCTTGCCTTAAAAATTTTATTTTTAATTGTGGTAATATACACATACCATAAAATTTACATTTTCACCATTTTGTAAGTGTACAGTTCAGTTATAGCATGTCAGAATTAGCTTTCTTTTTAAAGTTGAGTAATACACCACTGTTAAGTATATGCCAAATTTTTTTGATCCGTTCATCTGCTGAAGGGCACTTGGGTAACTTCCGCCTTTTGGTTATTGTGACAAATAATGCTAATATAAACACGAGTAGACATATGTCTAAGTCCCTAATTTTTTTTTTTTTTTAAAGATTTTATTTATTTATTTATTTTTCCCCCCAAAGCCCCAGCAGATTGTTGTATGTCATAGCTGCACATCCTTCTAGTTGCTGTATGTGGGACGCGGCCTCAGCATGGCCGGAGAAGCGGTGCGTCCGTGTGCGCCTGGGATCCGAACCCAGGCCGCCAGCAGCGGAGCACGCGCACTTAACTGCTGAGCCACGGGGCCGGCCCTCTAAGTCCCTAATTTTAAATCTACTTCAATTTTGAAAAGTAGAATTGCTAGTTCAGATGGTAACTGCAATTTTTAGAAGAATTGCCATGTTGTATTTCATACTATCAACGTAATTTTATATTCCCAGTGATAGTGCACAAGCGATCCAAAGGGTGTTTTCACTCTCTTGATGGTGTCCTTGGAAACACAAAAGTCATTAACATGACGGAGTCCAAATTACCTTTTTTTTTTTTGTTTTCTGTTTTTGCTCTTGGCAACTTATCTATAATTCTTTGCCAAATCCAAGGTCAGGAATTTTTTTCCTATGTTTTATCTAAGTATGTTATTGTTTACTCTTCTGTTTGTCTTTATCCTTTCTGGTAAATTATTGTATGTGGTGTCATATAAGGATAAAACCTCTTTCTTTTCCATATGGCTATCCACTTGACATAACACCAACTTATGTAAAGAATATTCTTGGGCCCAGTCCTGTGGCCGAATGGTTCAAGCTCTGCATGCTCCACTTCAGCGACCCAGGTTCACGGGTCCAGATCCCAGGCACAGACCTACTCCACTCACCAGCCAGGCTGTGGAGGTGTCCCACAGACAAAAAAGTAGAGGAAGACTGGCACAGACGTTAGCTCAGGGATAATCTTCCTCAAGTGAAAAAGCAAAAAAAAAAGAGGAGGATTGGCAACAGATGTTAGCTCAGGGCAGATCTTCCTCAGCAAAAAAAAAAAAAATTCTTGCCGCATACTTGGCATTTTTTTCAAATATCAGTTGACTACAGATGTATGGGTTTATTTCTCAAATCTCAATCTATTCCACAAATCTGTATGTCTCTCCTTGTGTTGGTACCACACTCTCTTGATTACCATTGCATACGACAAAGTTTGAAATCACGAAATGTTAGTCCTACCACTTTGTTTTTCTTTTTCCAGATGGCTTTGGCTATTCAGGTTCCCTTGCAAGTCCACATAATTTTATGAAAGAGCTTGCTAATTTGTATACAGAAATAAGCTGAGATCATGACAGGTATGTGCTGAATCTGACATCATTTAGGGAACAGTGCCATTTCAACAATGTTAAGTCTTCTGATCCATGAAATTGGAATGTTTCCCTTTTTCTACACATTTTTAATGTCTTTTGACCATATTTTTCAGTTTTCTGAGTATTTATTTTGTACTTCTTTTACTAAATTTATTCCTAAGTATTTTATTCCTTTTGATTTTATCAATGCATTTCTTAATTTCATTATCAAATTGTTCATTGCAAGTGCACAGAAATACAATTGATTTTTATTTTTGATAAAATGATTTTGATCTTGTATTCTACCATTTTGCTGACCTTAATTATCAGTTCTAATAAATTTTTAGTGGACTCAGAGTTTTCTAAAAACAAGATATCTCAGCTGGAAGTAGTGATAGTTTTACTTCTTTCTAATCAATCTTTACATATTTTATTTCCTTTTCCTGCATAATGGCTCCAGCTAAAATTTCCAATATATTCTAGAACAGAAGTGGCAAGAGCAGACATCCATCTTTGGTTCCTTATCTTCAGGGGAAAGCATCCAGTCTTTCACCATTAAATATATTAGCTGTGGGTTTTCCATAGATGCTCATTATGTTAGGAAATTTCCTTCTGTTCCTGGTCATCTGAGTGCTTTAATCATGAAAGTGTACTGGATTTTGTCAATTACTTTCCCTGAGTCTACTGAAATGATCTGCCATTTTTGCTTATAATCTATTGATATCCTTTATTACATAAATTTTGAGATGTTACCCAAACTTTCATCCCTGGAATAAATCCCACCTGGTCATCATATATAATTTTTTATATATTGCTGGATTAGGTTTGCTGGCATTTGCTGTCCTGGCCTCACAATGTGAGTATGAAGTGTTCTTTCCATTTTAATTTTTTAAAGAGTTTGTGAAGAATCGGTATTAAATAAATTTTGAATGATTTGGAGAATTCTGTAATGAAGCAATCTTGGCCCAGCCTTATTTTGTGAGTAGTTCTTTGATTATTATTTCCATCCTTTCACTTATTATAGTTCTATTCAGATTTTCCATTTATTCTTTATTTGTGTGTGTGTGTGTGTGTGTGTGTGTGTGTGTGTGTGTGTGTGTGTGAGGAAGATCAGCCAAAATTATCTGTTAGACATCTGGGAAACAAAAACATTGTTTGATCATTAGTTTTCAAACATTATATATATATATTTGTGTGTGTGTGTGTG